ATGTTTAAGATTGTGTTTATCTTTGACATGCATCACCGAAAATCAGATTAGTTTTCACGAACACGTTCATCCACGATTTAGACGTTTAATAGTGGTGTGGTTGCACTTAGAAAGATAATGGTGAGCATTGTGGCAGCTGTTGCTCCATCGTCCGCACCGAGTCGGCGACGGTGTTCGCGGAAAGACGCAACTTTCTTCAGAATCCAACCATTTATGAGGATCGAGTCGATCTCTGACAGTCCTCCTGGCAGTTTGGTTCAGGATCGCGTCAAAAACTTCTATCTCTTCGTTAGTTTCCATTTCCACATTCGCTAGTTGATGAGAGGCAAGAAGAATGAGGCCCATTCCGGCAAAACGGCATGCTGTTTCTCCACCTCTGAGAATCCGTTTATGGAGTTAAACCTACTATGGAACAAAATTATCTTTAAAGATTAGTTTAAGAGAGAAATAAAACTGATTACATTTGGTGCATGTCACAAATCAGTTTAACGACACGACTCGTTCGACTCGTTCGACATATATGTATTTGCTTGGAATCAGACCAGTTTAGCTCCTAAACGGATTCGGTGCGTGTCACCCGATTTTGTTCCATAGTAGGTTTAACTTCCTAAACGGGTTCTCTGAGGTGGAGAAACAGCATGCCGTTTCCGTGCATTCGTCGCGGAGGCATCCGCTTCCGTTCTTCCATCGGACGAAAAGAGCACACACGGACGGCCTTCGAAGGCGACGGAACGAGACGACGAGGGTGGTTCGAAGACTGGTGACTTTACGGTCGTTTTACCTTCTCACGAGTGGGGTTCGGTGGTGCCTATTAACTTTCTTCGATCCCTTCCCGTCGCGTACTCCTTGCCGAGAGCACCGAGAGCAAGGAAATTTCGCGCGCTTCTCGCCCGCTCGACACAGATTCGCTACGGCAAATTCGAAACTCCGATTCTTCGGGGTCGCGGAGAACACCGAACGGCGAGGAGGCAACCTTTCGTAGGAGGTAACCACGCCGCAAAAAAGACAGACTCGTAGGTAGCGAAATTGCCCTTTTCGTCGTTTGCGATGCACCGTTTCGCCGTAAGAAATGAAATCAGCTGTCATCGATTTAGGCTTAGCATGCTGGCTCCAGTACCCGTCCCCCACGGTTGCCGGAGTCGTGTGGCATTCATGACTGCTACTGCTTTCTCAACGGTGTCTGGATCTTCTTTTTTTTACGTATGATATACAAATGCGCATCGATTAACGTATATATGTACCGAGTCGTGGGACGAGGCGAGGCGGAAGCAGTGGTTAGCGGTGGCCATTCGATGAGGTACGAAATCGAGATACCGCGCATGGACATCCTCACCGATGATGGACCCGACGTGGATTTCGTCCTCGGGAGTTCTCGGTCGGTCGACGGTCTCTCTTAACGTTCTCTCTTCGGACCTCGTCGAGACGATTCGAGCGACTCCAGTCGGGACCGACGTCACGCGTCCTCTCCGAAAAGCTTCGCGAGAGTTACGATCGGTCCGCGATCGGCCCGAAGGGCTTTTCGCGTTCGGCGTGTCGTGCGTCCGTCGTGTGGATGCTCGGGCGTGTAGTTCGACGAGTGCGTGCACGCGCACGTCCACGTACGTCCGAGTGTTTTCACGAAACGTAAGCTCGCGTTTTCGATCCACCGCATCCCGTTTCCGCACGCTAGCCTTGCTTGTTGCTACCCTAGGCCCGAAGGGTCGAAGGAAAGGAACGCCTCCGAAACATGCTTTTCGCATCACTTCCACTTTTCTTAAGGTACCTTTCTTATCTCCTCTTCTTCTTTAGAGAAGAGACGAAGTCGCTCGAACGCTTTTCGAAGGTGATTAGGAAGGCAATACGAAGGTGGAGTCGCTCGTCCAAAAACCTCCCTCGTCGTCGGTGACGCGACCTTCGAAGGCCGTCTGCGATGGGGACGAGACCACGAAAGAGAATCGCGTGGAAAATATCGTCCGATTCTTCCGAGACGATGCACCTCACCGAATTTCGAATCTCTATTTTTGCGGATACGATTTTTGCAGCCGTTTCGCTCGCATCGTTTCCAGATGCTCGGTTTTCGTGAGACGTCCCACCGGTACGACGATCTCGCATCTCTCCGACTCGAAACGCGATCGCTCGCTTCGGATCGCCTTCCGTCCGGCCGAAGCGACGGCGGAAAGCGGAAATTTCCGTTCTCGAGTTCGACGAATTTCCACCGTTCGCTTTCCGCGATCTTTTTCGCACGAACCACCTTCTCGCGTTCCCGCAGGCACGCGATTCGAGGCATCCCCTTCCGTTTTCCGTCGGTTCGACGACGGACTCCCACGCGTGCGGAAACGAAAACCCCCTCGATGTTTCGCGTTCGAGGCGCCGCGTGGGACGAGTACTGCGGACGGATCCGAGAAGGCATTCCTTCCTTGTCTTTTACTACTACGATTCCGCTCTTCCCCCTTCCGGAAAAACGGGAGAGAGAAGAGAAAAAAATCGCCTCGTACCCATTTCCGGAGGGAAAAACCGACGTTCCCCGACGGTATTCCGTACGAATACTCGACGCCGAATACTGTGCTTTTTCTCGACCGCCTTTCGACGTCTCTTAGGACCCGCTCGCGTTCCGGCCGTTGCATGCCTTGCCGATTTCGGAAGGAAACGCAACGCTTTCTCGTTCCGATGCGCGAAATCGGACCTCTTCCCATACCTGATTTTTCCTCGAGATCGCACATACGGACTCCGCGGACTCTTCCGACTCTCCGAAAGTCGGTCGATTCCCTTCTGCGAGTCCGGACGACCGGACGACTCGTCTCTCGCGACTCCGTTTTCGTCGGAAGGACTCGGACGCTCGAACGAGCGAGCGCGACGCGACGGAGCGGGAGAAGATGGGAACCCCCTTCTCGAGTTTCTAGAACGTCCCCTGGCGATGGAAACCCCTCATTGCATCTGCAGAACGGCTCCTCGAACGATGGGAATCCCTACGACCGCGTTCGGAATGGCTGCTGCCGGCAGGCACGTCTCCGTCTCTGCGGAACGAGACTTCCTTCCTTCCTCCCGTCGGCGAGTTTGCGAAACCGAACGGGGAACGGACTCCGACGGCCTTCGGAAGGCTTCCGTATCGGTGTTTGAGCCACGCGCCACCGCTCACGGCTCCACCTTCTGCATCGGGAAGATTCCCCACGCGTGACGGACCCGACCCAGAGGGACTCTTCGAGACTCGATACCTTCACCCGGCCGTAACGGCAACCGCTTCGTCTCGCAGTCGTCTCGTCCTTTCGAGATCCGTGCGATCGACGGATCCCCTTCGAAATCGACCGTCGAACCGTGCGGACGAACGCGTCGTGGATTTTTTCCGTCTCGCTCTCGGCTCGCGTTCGGCACCGCCGACTTTTCGCGACCGAATTCGAGAAGCGTACTTGCAATTTCGTCGACCGCGACGTCTCGCGAGACGAAACGAACGACGATTCGTTCCGCGGACACCGGACGCGGTCGAAGCGATCGCGACACGATATTCGGGAAAGGGGAACTTCACCCGACCGTCGGGTGACTCCCGTCGTTTCCGTGCGGCGGGTCGATCGAAGAACCGGAACTCCAACATTCTGTCGCGATCCACTGCCGACACTTCCACGTGTACCTCCGAAGTTTTCAGATTTTCTCGGTCTTCTGTCGCGATTCCGAAGCTCATCCGATTTTTTTTTTTTCATCCTTCCGATCGACGTTATAGATTTCTTTAGGAAAATTAATTTCTGGCACATAAACTCTCGTACCTTTTAGTCGATACCGACCGTCTCGACGCTCATCGTCGAAGCATTTTACCCGAAGACGAAACGAAGCGGACGGAGTTTTAGGGAAAACCGCACGGCTCTTTTCGGTCGTTCCGACGGACGACCGTACGGAAGGTGTTGCGGTCGTCGACGACACCCGTACGTTCCGCTCGTGAAAAAAAGAAGCCATTTCGAGCTCTCGGTGTGGACTCTTCGGTATCGATACGGTCGAATGCCTCGATCTCGTTCCCGCTGGAGGCGAGACGAGGAAAGGAACGGTCGAGGACGAGTCTTCTCCCCGGTGCATTCTCGCATCCGCGACGATCTTCCGTCTCGTTCGATTCGCCCGGCGCGAGAGAGTCCGGTTCCCGTGTGACGCCCCGCGATCGACGAAAGCGAACTCTCGTCGCCTCGGAAGCGAGCACCGAGGCTTCGAACCGTCGAACGGAGGGATCCCAGATTCGGCCGGACGAATTTTCGACCCCGAACTCCGGATCGAGATGCGAGAATCCGCGTCCGGAAGAACCGCGAACCTCGTTTCCCGAGGAAAACACACGTAAACCGTCGAACTCGTCTCGGTGTGCGGGCCCCATCGTCGAGATCGGACCTCTCTCCGGGCCAAAGTGAAAAAAGTCTCAAGGTTTTCCCGGCTCGTGTAAATTGGACCTTAAGCGTTTCTCTCTCGGTGCACTCAGGTGGGTCGCAGGCCGCATCGAGAGCGTTCGCGGACCGCGAGCTTGAGACCCCTGCCGCAGAGGCTCGGACGAGACTCGACGAATCCGGGATTCTAAGGTCGGCGATCCGTTGCCGGTCGCACGACCGCGTACCGTCGCGCGCACGCGTCGTCACCTTTTTTTTTCTTTCTCCCGACGCGCGCGATCGATTCCCGATCGATCCCCGTCGACGAAAGGGAAAGCCATCCCCGTTACGTCTCGTCGCCCGCGGAGATATTTACAAACATCCGGGCGTTTTCACGGCTCGGATGTCGGACGTCGTCCGAGACGGACGAATTTCTTCCCCGAGGAAAGAGGATCTGATTCTCCGTAGAAACAAAATATATGACCCCCTATATTTCCGAGTCCCCCCCCCCGAGTCATTTTTCATTCCGAGTGTCATTTTTCACACGTGATCGCTTCCTGTCTCTCAAGGAAGTCCCTTCTTCTCCCATTCTGTAAATACTTCCCATCCCATCCTCTCGTCTTTTTTTTTCGCTCTCTTCCTCCCGACGCGCCCTAAATACACGAACACGCCTCACAACTAATCCTTTTCATGGTCCGTTCGAAACGGGTCGATCGCATCCGGGAATGTTTCCGCGCACTTTCCCGAAGTCCGGAAGAGGAGCGAAGATGCGATCGATCGACTCTTCCCGGACGCATCGGCGTCGGCCGTGAAAAAATCGGAACGACCGGGAACGCGACGGACGCTGCCAGACGAACGCGATTCCTGGTCCCGTTTCTTCCGGAACGTCGAAAGACGCCGAGGGGGAACGGCCGGACCCGAGAAAAACCCCGAGAACTCGCAATCGCCGGCGCGTTCCGCATTCGCGATCGCATCGCGTCGTCTCCTCTTTCGAGGTCGATCGAGAAAGAGCACGAGATTCCCGATCCGTGCTTCCTGTCCGGTCCGGTGTCGATTTCGGGGGCAGGGTGAGGTCCATCGTCGGTGCCGTCGATGGACTCGTCGTCTTCGGAGGAGGATGTCCGAAGACGTCTCCGCTCGAAGATGCGACGAGCCGGGCGAAACCGTTCGTTTCGGCTTCGTTTTCGATCGAGACTCGATGCGAGCGACCGTCGAACGGCGTTCGTTTTCGGCCGTCGCATCGGATTCCTCACTCGTCGTAGCGCGATCCACCGTTCCGAATTCGGAACGGACGATTCCGTTTCCGCCGCGCGTATCGTCTTCGTCGTTCGTCGTCGACTCGACCGAAAGAACGTTCGAATGCCGTTTTATTTACGTCGATCTTGATTTTTTCGTCTCTTGTTTTCGTTGGCTCGTGTCGGCAGCGTGCCTCCTGCAAGCCGGGAAGGACAAGTCGACCGGAGAGTACGGATCCCCGCTGTACGTGCAACTGAAGGAGGCGTCTTGCACCAGTCCGAACGTGGGAGACGCGAGCGGGACGGAGGGAGAAGGCGAAGGCGAAGGAGAAGGGGAAGGAGAACGAGGGGTGCACAAGGACGCCGGAGCGAAGGCGAAAGCGAAAGGGGATCTGCCCTTGCACCCGAAGCTCGCGAACGTCTCCGTCGCCCTGGAGATGAAGGCACTCTGGGATCAGTTCAACGATCTCGGCACCGAGATGATCGTCACCAAGGCCGGCAGGTAAACGAACTCCCTCTGCTCTCGGATCGACGCGACCCGCGGGAAACGTTCCGCGTCTCGTTCTCGACGGAAGACGTCACCGAACGAACGACGGGGCCTCTCCTTCGCGTCGGTCCCCTCTCCGAGCGAAACGCGCCGGCATCGTCGGGGGACGAACGGGTCGGATCGTCGACGAGGAGATCGGAGACTCTTCCCGTCTCGTCGGTGGGAATCGTCGAACGGGATGCGAGACGTCCGTCGTAGGATTCGGAGAGCGAAAGATTCCAAGGACCTGCAACGGCCCTACCGAAACGCGATCGAGAATCGACGAACGTGGAGGTGGCACGGTGACGACGCCAAAGAGGGCGTCGTCTCTCGGTCCCCCGGTCGCGCTTCCGCACCTCACTCCATGCGTCTGCACGAGCGACCGACCGAACGCTCGTTCGCGCTCGCGAGATCCGATCGGGCCGACCCGACGTCGAGTCGAGGAGCCTCGGCACCGATGGAAACGGCGATTCGTCTTCGAGACGGCCTTCCTCCGGATCCCGACGGGAGACGTTCGCGACTTTCGATCGGATTCCGAAGGAGAAGAGTGCAGGATTCGAGTCGAGTCGCGGGATTCGCTCTCGCGCCGCGCGTAAAAGAGTGCCGCGAGAGTCCGCCCGAGCGCGCGAGGATCGACAGAATAGCGACGAGGGTATCCGAGGATATCCACTTCGTTGCGGTCTGCCGGTGGTTCGAAGCCGGTTTCCGAGTCCCCCACCCCTACACCCCTCCCGGATGACAGCCGATACGAACCCGATCGCCGTTCTCCATCGGTCGTATCGGCTCGGGATCGGTTCGGACACCGTCTCGAGCCGACGTCGGTACGGTAGAGGTACTTCGAGCATCGCACGCGACGGGCGCGAGCGGGACGAAGGTAACGGACGGAACGGTCTCTTCGTTCGCGGAAATCTCTCGAGGAATCTCTGCGCTCCGGGAAAGCACGCGGTAAAGGACGGGTCGGTCGGATGCGTTCTCGCACGAGGACGGAAAACGATACGATGGAGTGCGATCGACGGAGGGCTCGAAGCTTCCCGCGCGAGGCCGCCGACGATCGCATGCTTTTCCCTCGGATTCTTCCTCGTGCGACTCCCGACGTCCTCGCTCTCGATCCCTCGAGATCTCGTTCCGCGTTCCCGAAGCGAGTCTCCCGCGGAACGCGCCGCGGCGTCGAGAGCGTCGGACCGAGACGACCCCGTCCGTCGCGGGAGAGAGGTCGACGACGGAGAGCGGAAAGGGGACACGGCGAGTTCTTTCCGATGCTTCCACGAACGGAAAGAGAAGAGAGAGAATAAAGGTGACATGCGACACCGAGGTCGTCTCACAACACCAGACATGTGTCCCGTGATTAATGGATACTACCGCACCCAGATACGCACGCACATACGCGTCCGGGAAAGAAGTGACAGCAACGAACACAATCTCCCCCTTTTTTTTCTTTTTTTTTCCTTCTCCGGTCTTTTCCCCGTCGCTACGCGGGTCCCATCTGGAAGGGGCAGGAAATAGACGATCTGCATTCCCACCTCCGAAGACCGGCGAGAGAGAAGAGAAAGGAGAAGACCCGAGGTCTCCGTCGAGAAGTTCGCGACTCTCCGCGTTCCGACTCCGCGAAGCGCACCGGAGAGCGACTCTCGTCGCACCGTCGGTCGCAGTTTGGCGATTCCTTCGAGGCGAAAGCGATCCGCGTCGTCGTCGTCGGACCGCTCCCTTCGAGACGTCTCGCGCGATCGGTCGTCGAATTCGGCTCGTCGAACCGAAAATCGAGGTCGGTCCGGGCTCGGGCTCGGGCTCGACGGCTTCGACGAAACTCGGAGAAATGTCGAACCGTCTCGTCGACGAGGCGTGACGACGCGGTCGCATCGGACGAGTCGCACGGTATCGCCGGATCTTCGACATCGACCTCGAGTCACCCGATGCATCTGTACGCACCCGGTGGAAGACGAAGAACGCGCCGTCGACGCGACGGAGCCGCACGCCCGATCTTCCGGTCGGGTCGATCCGAAATCGTCCCCTCGTTCTCGGTTCGATACCGGGGAATTCCGAATCCGAACGACGGATCTCGCTCGAACGCCGAGGGGCGGAACTCGCCGAACGTCTGCACGCGAGCGATCGGGGTTTCCCTCCGACGGGCACGCGTCCCCTCGAGTAGATTCCAAGCGTGGCTCTCTCGAATTCCGACGTCGTCCCCGTAGAATCGAACGAGACACAACTCGCCGAAATCGTCGTGAGATCTCGGGGTTCTCTGACGAAGGGAAGCATCGTGCCATCCCCCCCCTCCCCCCTCCCCCCTCCCCTGCTTCATTTGACGTCTGGGAGCTCTTATTCGTACGGTGAGCCACATTTGAGCCTAAAAATCGGTACACGAGGAACATTTTGGACATTTGGGTGAGGGGAGGGGAGAGGGGGGGTAGGGGCGGGAGAGAGGATATCGTCGATCCGAAATATGCCTGTTAGAAGTTCCAGAAGTGTGTCTCATTCGAATGCTATCGGACGAAAGGCAATTAACCCGAATCAGAAAGACGTGAATGTTTCACGGAACACAGCTAATAACGAATCGAAATCGCGGGACGTAAACGTGTCGTAGGTGGCGCGGTACCGAGCCGTGGCTACCACGCTCGGGAAACGTACGAACGATCGCGAACGAACGACATCGAATCGTTGGCGAAAAATCGGAAATGCGAGGAACGAACCTCGTGACTTCTTCCCGAAAAGAAAAACGAAAGGAAGCGAGGGAGACGTCGGTGCCACTCGCGACTCGGTGACGTGACGTGCCGCTGCAGGAAGCGATCCGGTGGCGGCGAGACGATGGAGTGACGCGTCGGTTTTGGGAGACATCCCCTCGTCGAGACGTCGCCTGGACGCGGGACGTCAGGGATCGGTGGTTCGGGTGCCACCCGGGCACCCGATCGACGTTCCTAAGAGCCTCTCTTCCCACTCCTTCTCTCCCGTTCTTCGCATTTCTCGCGGTTTCTTCGAAAAGACGCCAGGAATCTCTCGTTCCGGAGCTCGCTTCGAACGCGGAATTCCACGCGTTTCCTCCATCGGTAGGAGGCCGAAACCGCGCAGCCGAGTCTCCCCCTCCCGACGACCGTCGTGCGGTTCCCCTCGACCCGACGCGTCCGCCGGAGAGGAACGCCGGGTGGACGGAGTCCGAGGACGGAAGGGGCTATAAATAACCCGGGGGGGAGAGGGGTGTCCCCGTCTCGAGTGTCCGTCGAAAACGAAAAGAGCGAGAAAAGGATACCGTCGCATCTCCGGCTGTGCAAACATTCGCCTCGTCTTCCGACGACCTCCGAAAGCCCTTTCTACGACCCCCGGAGGCCTCGGACCGCACCGATGTTTTCCGACTCTCCGAACTCGGCCTCGACACGGTGCGGGAGGAGAGACGCGAGGAAATTCGATAGAGATTTATAAGGAACGCGAGGAACGCGGAATGCCAGGGTTCTTAACGAGGAAGAAGGCATTCCTGCGGTCTGGGACAAATTCGCTGAAATCCAAAACCTTCCCTCGTCTCCCGGGTGGCTCCTAATTGGGCACGTTCCCCGATCTCTTCCTCCTCTGACATCCACGAAGAAAAGGGGTGGAATCCGTTCGGAAACGAAGGGGGAGGGGAAGCATGGGTTCCCTGGAAAGTAGGCAGGTGCGCCGAGCACACCTGGAGGACGGGTGGGCCGGAAATCGAGGCTCGGCGTGCCGAGCCCGAAAACGTCCAACCCCCTATCTCCTCCGCCCGTTTACATTTTCCGATTTCGTGACTGCGGAGCATCTCTTCGAGCGGTGAGATCCTTGGCGGAATGCACCATCGATGATTTCCAGCATTCTCGGACGAATGTTCGTTCCTACAAATTTCTACGACTGCTGTTTACGTAGTTTTGTTTTTTTGTTTTTTTTTTTTTGCCAGACGCGATGGTCCCTCGACGAACGGCACACTTTCATCGAATCGTCGAATCGTACAGCGGATAGCTGCCGATTCTCTCGTCTCACCTTCAGAAAGGTGCGAAAGAAGTCATTTTGGACGGAAGACGAGAGGGTGCGCGAGTGCCAAATCGTATCGGTTTCCGAGAAAAGAAAAGGGGAAAGGAAAGAAGAGAAACGGGGACGGAACGGAATGGAAGGGGATCATTGTGTGTGCTCGTGTGGAATGTTTACGAGGTCTGGCGTCAGACGGGGCGATCTTTCCCTCTGTCTCCCTTTTCCTCCCTCGATTCCGTTTCGATAAACAAGAACGAGGCTCCGGTCCGGAGGATTTCGAGGATCGATTCGCTCGCCCGCATCTCGGGGACGGAGGGAAAACTTGACACATGTGTCCCTCTCGGGGTCATTCTTTTGCCAATGAACCCTCAAACGTGACACTTGGTGGCAACACCCGGGGTGGTCCTCCTCCTCTCCTCCCCCTCCTCTCCCTCCGCTCCGTGATTTCACTCGCTACTTACCGCTTACCCTACGCCCTTCAGAAGTTTTCGGTGAAATTGCCCGAAGACGAGGGGGGCACTCGCGGAGAGTCGACGAAAGGAGGCGGTATGCCTGAAATTTCAAGCATCCTGCATCGGCTACCCGAAAATTTCATCGCAAAGGGACCCGAAATCGAAGGAAGTGAATATTTTCGAGGGCGTGAAATGGAAGAAATCGAAAATTTCTCGCCGAGGACTCGTGGACCGTTCCGAGACTCATTTCCGTGCCGGTTCTCGACTGCAGCACATCGTCACGTATCGATCGTGACATCGTCGATAGGATATCCGATGGCGAAGCCGTATTTTGGCTCCAGGAGAGTGGGGATCCGATCGGAGAATTGCAAAATTCGGGAAGCAAAAATCCGGTGAATAGATTCCGAATTTCTCAAAGTCATCGTCGACGTTTCGGAATCTCGACCAGATTTTTCTAGGCTCCTACCTGGATGGGAACGGACACGATGCTTCCAAACATCTTCGGTAAGTTGGCGACCGAGGAGAGAACCCCAAAGTCGTCGGTTCGGCCCAGGATCATCGTTGTCCATTCACCCTTCGTGTTCTATTCCAAAGAAACTCGGTGCTCCCCGCATCTCTTCGATCGGTGGGTTCTTCTCCTTCGCGACGGCTAACCGACGTTCGGGTTATTGGAACCGAAAAGTCCGTCAGCCGCTAAAAATAAAAACAAGATCCCGGGGATAGATAGTCCATTATTTTCCCTCTCATCGTTCGCAGCTGCCGAATTCACTGCGAATTCCGTCCCTTTGAAAAATTTTTTCGTCTTCTTCCATTCGTGTAGTGGTGCACGAGAGCTCTTGCAGGAGTCTCGGCAGACGAAGGAAAGATGGATGGGTCCGTCCCTGCCGCTGCCGATGCAACGCTTACCTTTTTTTCATTCGTCATCGCATCGTGTTCTTCGAGCCCAAAAGTTCCCTTCTCCTTTAGGACTCGACTACGCTGATTTACTATTAAAAGGACAAAAACAATCTGCCGCATCTATGACACGTGTAGTGATGCAAAATCCATTTTTCGATGGCTTCACCTTTCTTCGACTTCGACCTCAACCTTAACCTTAACCTTACCCGCCCCCCTTCTCGACGGAACTCACTAACGTCAGGCATAGGCCAAACCGACGAACTCTTCGGGTCAGGCCT